AGGATCAACATCAAGTCGACACACTCAAGCTTTGGTGGAAGGCAAGAAATGACATGGGGATCTGGGGAGCCTTCGTGAGAGCAAAATACATGAAGAAAGAAGCCATAAAGGAGAAGATTACAGATTCCCCTACCTGGAAAAGGATTTGTAGATCAGACGCACTTGCAGCCTCTCATACCACCACAATAGGTTCTGAAGCGTTTTGGGAAGGAAGTACTTTCAGCCTCTAGGAAGCCTATAAGGTAATTCAAGAGAATGGACCAAAATTGTTGTCTTGCAAATACATCTGGCACAGTTCCAACATCCCAAAAATCAGGATCTTCTTGTGGAAACTCCTCAACGGGGCACTACCCTTTCCTGAAAATCTTGGCGGATTTGCCTCCTCCCTACCAAGCATGTGCCCTCTCTGCAAAAACAACAATGATGACACAGACCACTGCCTACTCCACTGTCCAACAGCAACCACGGTGTGGAACAAGCTGGCCGCCCTCTCCAATGGCCCAAGAGTTAAAGAGAACACTACTCTACGTCAACACCTCCTCGCATGGTGGTTTGGAAGCAGCACTAAAAACTTCAAGGGAACCCTTCGTATCATTTTCCCAGGCCTTTGCACATGGTCCCTATGGAAGGCACGTAACTCTAGTCTTTACAACGCAGCCATTCCAACAGCCGAGGGAATATTTCAATCCTGCCTCAAGACACTCCAAGCATGGGCATACCTCAATAGGAGCAAAAAATGGATGGTGCATGATGCAGACTTCAAATGTTTGGGGATTGATTCCTTTTGGCGCAATGGTCGAAGATTATTAGCTAGAACTTTCGAATAAGTTTGCTTTGTATCACCTACCTGACCTTCTTGTACCTTTGTCTCTTGTTTTTTTACTAATAAATGCATTTACCTTAAAAAAAACAAATATATATATATATACACACACACACACACACATATATATAAAATCGATTATTTATATTGTAAAAAACGATTATTATGAATTAATTGATTATTTAAATTGTAAAAATAGATTTTTATGGATTAATTGATTATTTATATTTTAAAAATCAATTATTATGAATTAATTGATTATTTAAATTGTAAAAATCGATTTTTATGAATTAATTGATTATTTAAATTGTAAAAATCGATTTTTATGTATTAATTGATTATTTATATTGTAAAACTCAATTTTTATGAATTAGTTGATTATATAAATTATATAAATCGATTTTTTATAAATTAATTGATTATTTTAAATTATTTTCCGCAATTTCAGATCCTGCCTTGAAAATATGCTCTAAAATCCTATTTTTGATATCAATTAATTATGAACAATATAAATATGATTTTGTACAATAAAGATGATGTTTTTGGCATATAAAACATTATGTGATGCATGACAGTAAGTTTGGGTGTTAACACTCGAAACTAGGCCGCTACTTGCTATTGGATATTATGTTAATTGATTGCTATGATGATATGATTATTATGAATAGTTATGAATGATAACCCTACTGATTAGAATGATTATTGATGATTAAATCATGAATATAAACGGTGATCATGAAAACGGTGCATATTGTTAAGGATATCTAGAAGATCTCTAAGATATACCCACTTGTATATTGATGATGATTATTAAGGATATCTAGAAGTACTCTAAGATATACCCACTTCTATATTGATGATGATTATTAAGGATATCTAGAAGAACTCTAAGATATACCTCCTTGACCAATTCATATTTTGGGTTAAAACGTACGTACGGGATCCAGAACAAATATCACCCACCCGACAGTTCACTGTTCGGTTGGTACAGAATCCACATGACTCATAGGGTGGATTATCGATTCTTGTGTTCTACATTAAACTATTTATAGTTTAAGGGCCTGGTTAGAAATTTTGCCTTAGACTAGGAATAGCTAAGAGCTGATTATAAAATGATTTGGCCTTAGATTAAGAATAATTTAAGAGTGTTGTTGAGATATTGAATATCAAATGACTTGGAATAAATTATTGAGAATATCATGAATGTTTGAAATATACATTGTGTGCATGATATCAAATGGTTGATTATGATTTGAGATTCAATTTATATGGATGTTCGACGCTTTAGATATGCTTACTCAGCTTTACCGCTGAGTGTGTAGTATGTTTTAAATAAAAGTGTTTGAAATGTTTTATATTTACGATTACCAAGTTAATACTTTAGTCCGAAAGGGGCTGCCGACCTGGACGGATTATGGTGTTACACTTAACCTTGCTAGTTAGGTTCAGATTATTGATGACATCCTCCTTATTCGCCCTGGCAACATTTACCATTTCTTGGTGGTTATTCAACCCCTACAAGAAATAAGGACTCGTTGTCGTGTACGTCTGCATGAGATTGTACTGTCTGCCTTTCACTTCCAGAAAATACATTGCTATCTCAACATGCTGCATAACATTACATGAGGCACTAAAGTCAGTATTCACAAAAAAACAAAAAACCCAATCTCTTATCCTTCACATCCATTATACGTATACAAATCACACTGCCATTCTCCCCCCAGTCATTCCCTCAATGCCCTGTCCTAAATAAAACCATCATACATCCCCTATAACACCCCACCAACTCTATCTATCCCATTAAGGCCATCAAACTTCCCATATACATGCTTACAAATCTGCTTAAAAAAAATCTCCTCACTGTCACACTATCAGTAAAAATAAAAAACACAAACAAAACTTGACTGATCGTTAAAAAACACATAGCCATGCTGTTGGGAAACGAGACTTGGATAACGCAGCGGAAAACAAAAATTTATAGTCCAAAACTTGATTCCACCCAAGAACAACTTACGTAAATTACTAGCTATAGTAAGAAATTTACCTTAACGGTGAAAACCAAGAACGGAGGAACGGTCGGGGATGGTTTTGAGGAGATGAACGTAGCGCCAAACGTATGAAGCCTCCAACGTATCCACACGAACTTGCTCCGGAGTCCAAGATTAAACTTGTGCTAGCAAGTTTAATATAGGATAGTAAAAACTATAATAATACTACTTTGGGAGTAATAAATATATAGTAAAATATTTATCTTATAAATATTTGTTTATAATATTTTGTGTATATTTCTAACACTTTAGAAAAATAACTTGTAACACAAAATAACAATTTTCTCCTCTCTCTCTCTATGTGGTTGAAAATTACACATGAAAATAGGGTGGGATTTATTTCATTTTATAACACATTAATTAATGTAAGATGCCATGAAGCTTCCTTGAGACATTAAGTTGTGATAATGAATTAATCAAAATGCAATGTCTCTAACCACCATAACAAAACAAAATAGAATCCCTACA